ATGCCTGTTTTTTTTTTTTAACTACTGTCATTAAAACAGTCACATGTTCCATATCCCTAGTCAGTAGTATTTCACATCCACTCCACTTGACATTTCCTATGAGGCAGGAAAAATAAAACAGCAGTAGGGTAAGTATTCAAATTAAATGCTAATTTTGGACCAGGAAGAAACATTTAACAAAGAGCTCATAAAAGAGGCTCAAATTAACCCTACAATGCCCACCTTTTGACCATCTACATTTTAAGAAAAAGGGAAAGTCTTAGAACCTGGGGTAAAGTAAAGCAGTGAAAGAAAGTCAAACTGTGTTGAAATGCTGAGAGGGGGCGTAGCAATGATAGCAACCTCTCAGCAGCACAGGCTGAGGCCTTGACATTCTCTCTTTTAATCCCCACCCGGACCGGAGGAAGTGAGACTGGATGTTGTAGTTGAAGACACTGACACTCCTCACAGTGGATCCCAGTCTAGGTCTGTCTGAGTCTACACTTAACACTTTAACCTTAAAGCTATACTCAGTTGCTTTTAGATTCATGAATATTTCATAAGCTCAGTATCTTTTTAGAGGGTTGTTATTGAAAGGGGTCATGGTTAGCACTAACTTCATTTTCATTTCCCATGATCCTTCACCTGAGTCAAGGAAGCCAAAGCTGATATATAAGGGGTGTTGTAACGGAGCACACAGTACCACACTGAAGTGAAGGCCCAGGGACTGACCCACTTAAGGCATAAGCTGACATCAGGCAAGTTCCTGCCTCGGGGAAAGTGGGTGATGGCAGCCACAACTGCACCTTCAGGAGTGCTATTACAGCTGCGCTGGGGAGGTCGCTAGGCTAAGCACTTACTGGGGAAGGGCACATAGGTCACACTCTTCCAGCCAGAGTGATTCCTACAGAGACCTTTGGGAATTCTATAACTTTCCTCCAGCCTTTCCCTTTCACTAAATGGGAAGCAATTTTCTCTGGGTCCTTCAAGGTAGAAGAGAATGTGCTTAAATCATACACCCCCTAAAAGAAAGAATTGACTCAAGGTTACCATTGTCCCACAACTCAGTAGTAATAAAAATGTAATAAAATGTATCCCACTTACAGTAGACCCAGCTCTATGATGGTAAATAGTAATAACTGCCCATTTGTATCCATTTTCTAGGGCTGCTACACTGAATTACCACAAACTTGTTGGCTTAATGTGACAGAAAGTTATCCTTTCACAGTTCTAGAGGCTAGAAGTCAGAATGAAGGTATCAGGAGGACCATGCTCCCCCTGAAGGCAATAGGAGAGAAGTCTTCCTTGCCCTTTGCGGCTTCCGGTAGCTCCAGGTGTTCCTTGGCTTGTGGCCACATTACTGTGATCTCCACCTGTGTCATTATAAGGCCTCTACTCTACACCATGCCTTTGCCTCTTTTGTGACTTACAAGGAAGCTGATCCTTCCATTTAGGTCCTATCAGGCAATCCAGGATAAAGTCATCTCAAGATCCTTAAATAAATCACTTCTGCACAGATCCTTTTTCAAAGAGGGTAGTATTAACATAAGTTCAAGGGTTAGGACACAGACATATATATCTTTTAGGAGGGCCACCATTCAACCCACCGCAGGAACTCACAGGATTGTGGTGAGGATTTAATTAGAAAGTATATATAATTGGGGCACCTGGATGGCTCCACGTTTGAGCATCTGCCTTCAGCTCAGGGCATGATCCTGGAGTCCCGGAATTGAGTCCCACATCGGGCTTCCTGCATGGAGCCTGCTTCTCCCTCTGCCTGAGTCTCCGCCTCTCTCTCTGTGTCTCTCATGAATAAATAAATAAAATCTTTAAAAAATAAAAAAGCATGTATAATAGCAGCTACTGCAGTAGTATAGGGGCAACACACATTCATTTCCTTTTTCCAAAGAAGTACCCTGCTGTGTACTACTGACTTTGGGTACTGGTGGGGAGATGCAGAAAGTATGACTGCTTTTGTATAAAATGGAAGACTTCTTGTTCTTTCAAAGAAGAAAATCTGAAAAATCACTTATATGATGGTTCCTGATTTGTAGTTCAACTGTTAGAGTGCATCAGAGACAAGGATGAGAGACCATCTTTAAAAGCTTAGATTAAAGGTCCCATCCTCAGAAATTCTGATTCACTGGGTCTATGTGGGACCTGGAAACCACATTTTTATAAAACTCCTGAATTGATCCTGATGCAGGTGGGCAGTGCTACACGTCTGAGCTCCTCCAGCGAGCTGTGGTAGAATTTCCACACGGTCCATCTACAGTGTGCTTTTGTGATATTATAGAGTTAGACGTTTCTAGGACATATGTGCCCCCATAAATGCGTAGGTCACAAAACAAAAATGTTAGAGATATTTTGAAGTTACTATACAGCACTATGTGTTTCTCATACTTTTTCTATGAGAAAGCTCATTCAACACGTATTTACTAAGTCCTACTATGTTCTGGGCACAGGGATAGATGCTGAAATATAGTTGTAGAAAATATACATTTATGTTTTCAAGTATCCATGGGACATTTACAAAAATTGACCTCTTGTCAGGACCAAAAGAAGTCTCAAAAAGTAACAAAAAATCTTTGCCATATGGAACACTCTCCACAAAAAAGCAAAATTTAAAATTCCAAGATAATGCTCCAAACTTCTCTTTCTTGCAGATTTCAAAATGTTGTATCCAGTCTTCTCTTTTTCAAGGGCCAGGGAGGTAAAGCTAATAATGGATAGAAGTCATGTGGCTCAGGTTTCATGCGTCCAAATATAACTAAGGTCCTGTTAATCCTAAGGTGCTGATCAAGCACTCATGCAGAATGTGGCCCCTTCCCAAAACTGCCCTGGTGTTCAGGAGGCTGTCCATGCCTCTGTGGGAGCTTGACCCTGCCCCAGGCTTTCCCGCTACTTTACTGAGCTCGGCTGTCTTCACAACATCAAAGCCCTCCTACCATCTGGGAGATAAGGATAAGGAAGGGGGGCTTGGGGTAAGGGGTGGGGGAGATGATCTGGGCATGGAGGACCCAGGGAGAATCACCACCTCCACCTGCTGAAGCAGGACTGCTTGGGCCCAAAGCTTTATCTGGACTTATCTAAACATGGCAGTAAGGGGACCAGCTAGGCCCTTGGCTAGGCTACAGTCTCCATCTGCTAACTGCTACACTCTTTTCTGAAGCTCTCACACCAGAACACCTCCCTCTTCCTCAAACTAAAAAGGCAGAGGCCCAGAGACCTATCTTTGGATGTGACTTGCTAGGGAGAGAGTTGGCTCCAGGAAGTTCCACGGTCCAGAAACAAGGGAATGGAGAGAATGAGGAGGAGGGGGTGAGGCACCCCCCAGAGGAGACCCTGGGGTGGCTCCCTCAATGTGCAGTTACTCAGAAATAAAGTTTCATGAGGAGAAGAAAGAAAATCAAACTTGTGACAAGGGAAGCGTACTGTTGCCTAGAACGTGATGTCAAAGCTGCATGCTGGAGGCAACCACAGCCGTTTCAGGAGACCCAGCTCTGCCTCCACAGCTGCCTGCATCCCCTACACAGTAAGACCCTGATTTTACCTCTCCAGGTAGCAACTTCTTCCTTAAAATGAGGTGATAGGAGCAAACAAACTCAAGGCCACAGCTCCTGGTTTTACCCAACAAAATACAGTGACATGAGCAAATGTGCCTACTGTGGTTAGTGTTTTAATTTTAAAACTAGCCTAACATTAAAGGGTGCTGACAGGTGCAAACAACCTTGAAAGAAAGCAAGAAAGCACTCATGTAGATGAATGAAGGGGAGCAGTCTGGGCAAGGGGAAAAATGAAGTGAGAAAAAAGGGTATCTGGACATGCTAAGTAGATGAATTTGCTTACTTGATCGAAGAGTGAAGATGCTACTGGATGGAGAGCTCAGAGCTAGATTTTGGAGGAATTTGAATGGTAAGCTAACACATTTAGTCTTTGGGTAATAAGAAACCACTGGAAAGTGTGAACATGGGATTAACATGATGGAACCTATAGTCCAAGAACATTAATTTCCACCTTATGCTGTGTTTGTTTTGATGTATCAGCTTTTTGTTTTTAATAATTTATAAGTATTTTCTCTAGTATATATGAAGGAATTGATAGTGATTGAAATGCATTAAGCTAATTCCCTTAAGACATTGTAAGACTTTAAAACCCTGTGCTCTTTTCAAGTCCAATGCTCTCATGACTTTACATGAAAAGCTTTGGAATCTACTGCAAATTCATAGTACACTACTATATGTTACATTTTAGTTTGAACTTAAGGAATTTATAAACTAAGACTTGAATCATGAGTTTAATTAGTTTCCATATGTTCTCTAGTAGTTCAAAACTAAAATTAAGGTTAATTTATCTGACATCTTATAGTTCAGTTGAAATGGTTGGCAATACTATTTTTCATATTCCCTAGCAAATATGAGGTCAAGCCAAAGTAATTAAACTGTTTTGACCTACAAAGATGGTAATTTTATATAGCTCGGCCGATTGTATTGTGATATATTTCGTTACTATACATTCGGTGTTCCATTTTCCTTTAAAATAGAGTATATAGGGATCCCTGGGTGGCGCAGCGGTTTGGCGCCTGCCTTTGGCCCAGGGCGCGATCCTGGAGATCCGGGATCGAATCCCACGTTGGGCTCCCGGTGCATGGAGCCTGCTTCTCCCTCTGCCTGTGTCTCTGCCTCTCTCTCTCTCTCTCTCTCTCTCTCTGTGACTATCATAAATAAAAAAATAAAAAATAAAATAAAATAAAAGAGTATATATACTACATGTGAGATATTGGGGCAGAGGGAGAAGTTACTGAGATAAATAATAATGACCATTACCCTTGTATACCTTAAAATCTAGAAGATTCTCAAACTCGCAAGTATATAAGAATCATCTGGAGATTTTTTTTAATTAATGCAAGTCCCCAGAGATTCTAATTTTTATCAAACATGTAAAGCCAGAGTTCTCAGACTATCCTCTCTTAAACACTAATCTACAGAGAGAAGCATTTTAATGACTAGTATGGCCTTCAACGTGGAGCTATGGGAGGCCTGGAGAAGAAGAAGTATGAACGAGGCTCTGCTACCAACTACATCACCCGAAACAAAGCCCGGAAGAAGCTGCAGCTGAGCCTGGCTGACTTCAGACGGCTGTGCATCCTGAAGGGCATTTATCCTCATGAACCCAAACAGAAGAAAAAGGTTAACAAAGGCTCTACAGCAACCGGAACTTTTTACCTCCTTAAAGACATCAAGTTCCTCCTCCATGAACCCATTGTCAACAAGTTCCGGAAATACAGGTGTTTGTCGGGAAGCTCCAGAAGGCATATGGGAAGAGCGAGTGGAACACTGTGGAGCATCTAAATGACAACAAGCCCAACTACAAACTTGACCACATTGTCAAGGAGCGGTACCCCACATTCAGAGATGCTCTGCGGGACCTGGATGATGCCCTCTCCATGTGCTCTTTCTTAGGAGAAAGAAGAACTTCCCCCCAGAGACTCCTTCAGCAGACTTCCTCTTTCATCTCAACCATCAGAACTAAGTCACACACCCAATCCTAAACCAGTCACAGGCAAAGAGGATGGGATTGTCAATGGTGATTCAAAGCCTTATTACCTGGGGTGGCATGGGTGTTTGAAATCAACCACACCCTTAAGAGTCTGGATTAGGGGGTAGATATGCAAACTCCAAACCACTCACCCGAGCCATAAGATGACCCCTTAAAGGCAATGGTCATATTTTAGAATTCTTTATACCTTTAGCAGTGAATGTCGGTGTTTATTTGACTGAAGGAATGATCTGGTACATAAATACAATGCACAGAGATTATCTTTTGTATAAAATGGTGAGATGGTAAAGACAAGATGATAATAAAGGCTATCCACTTAGACAAGATCTGGAATCGTGGAGGGAGAAAAGCTCTACAGAAAGTGGTGACGCTGTCTGAATCTTGCTGCGTTAACCTGTAACAGTAACTTCCTGTGTAAAGAGGCATTTTAAATGTCAAGGAGCTAAAAGACAGGATTATGGTAGCTTTTAAGCTAAACACTAAATCAAATTACTTCAAGGACTCTAGTCTTAAGGTCATATTTATATAATGATGGCCGAATTGGACTGGACCCAAAAACTTGGACTGCTTTGTTTACTGAGGCTTATGTGTAGATACATATATACCCATCTGGAACACTTCCTATTCCGCCAGGCATTAAAAGAGTTTCTAACAAATTTAAGTGAAGTTTTGTTCTGAAATCTGTCATAATCATAAGGTTTGGGCTTAATATGAAATTTTAAGAGAAAATCAACAATTTGTTAAATAGAGAATAAAAGACAGTTATACTGGCTGTCTAAAAAATAAGCAAAAACCATGGAAAGGTATGTTTTCTCATAGTTCTGAATTGTCTGCTACAAAAACCTTGTAGTTTAAGAAAGAATATATGAGATTGAAGAGGTTGCATTTTTTTGTCTCCTAAATGTCTTGTTAAGAGCTGGTGAAGGGGCAACTGGGTGGCTCAGTTGGTTGAGCAACTGACTCCTGGTTTTGGCTCAGTTCATGATCTCAGGGTTGTGAGATCGAGCCTCCCTACCATTGGGCTCTGTGCCAGGCATGGACCCTGTTTGGTATTCTCTCTCTTCTCTCCCTCTGCCCCTCCCCCCAACTCACTTTCTTAAAAAAAAAAAAAGGAAAGAAAGAAAAGCTTGTTTAAGTGTGTTTTTAAATGCATATTTTAGCAAGATTTAGATGCATAATTGAAAAAGAATCTGGTGGGTCTCTGAGAAAGATATATATCTAAAACTGTTAGTTGAGTTCATTGGTAATGCAGAAATCCAGAAAGTCACTAGGCACTTTCAACTTCCAAAGCTGCTGAGCTGCAAATTTTTGAAAATAAAGAAACATAAAAACTATACAGGCAGCTTTTAAAGGAAAGGGCATAGTGGATTATATGTAAATATAATATATAATATATAGTATATAATATATAACAAAATATATATTATATAAATATATTATATTTATAAATATAAATAAGTAGTAAAAATATAGAAGTACTATTTTCCTAGAAATTTACTTTATATTGATAAAATTTCCTACACTATCAGATTTTATGTGCTATGCATATGTGAAAAAATAATAATAAACTTCTAAATATGATGCCCCTTTCCAGCAACTCATGAGTTTATGACATCACCATGGGGAATTTACTCAGTTTCAGAAAAAAAAAAAAAAATTAGGAAATCTTCTAAATTTTTGAAGCCAGTGGGTAATGTATCTGAGAAAAGAAGAAAACTAAGTCACACCCTTTAAAAAAAAAAAACAGTAATAAGACTTTTTAAAAAGGTAATAGAACTGCAGATAGTAGCAAATACTGATCTGATGTTCTTAAGCTGTTCTTATTACTGATAATCAAGAGATAGGAGACAGACGACCATGTACTTGGAATCTAGTTCTTCCACTGCCGGCCTCTATGCCACAAGTTTCACAGGGGAGATGAATGGTGAGGAGAAAATATTCACTATTTTATTTTATTTTTAATTTTTATTTATTTATGATAGTCACAGAGAGAGAGAGAGAGAGAGAGAGAGGTAGAGACATAGGCAGAGGGAGAAGCAGGCTCCATGCACCGGGAGCCCGACGTGGGATTCGATCCTGGGTCTCCAGGATCATGCCCTGAGCCAAAGGCAGGTGCCAAACCGCTGCGCACCCAGGGATCCCCAATATTCACTATTTTAAAAGCAAGCTGCAGTTTAAGACTGTTGCTCTAAGCAAGGGCTGCCAATTCAAACACCTTTTAGAGCCAAGCAAGTAAGAGCCAGGAGTAAAAGTGCAGATGGGGGGATTACCTGCATATGCCCCTCAGAGATGCCGCAGCCCTGCTCTGCTCCAGCCCACTGGGCCATGTGGAATGTGTTGGGCCCAAGATTGTGAATCTGAGAAACCAAGGAGCCGACACCCATGCAAGCGCACGAGGGTTTATTAGCAAACTCGAGCTTGGGTCCAAGTGTACCCGACACAGCGGAGCAGGGACTTGGACCCCGAAGTGGGTTGCAGCTGGGTTTTTATAGGCTGGTCTAGGGGATTTTCAGAAGGGGTGGAGGAATTTCTCAAGTTCTGTTTACATTCTGATATGGGGCTTTCAGGGGCATTGAGCTCTGTTCTCATTTTAATATGGGACTTTCTACCACAGGTGTGGGCTCTGTTGTCTTTCTGATACCGGATTCTCTGCCTAGGGCAGTTCTGAGCTCTCTTGTCTTTCTGATATGGGATTCCCTGCTGAGGACATTCTGCAGTTTTTCCTGTAAAGTTCAGCTCTTATTCACAGGGGCCTAAGATGGCTGTATTTGTGCTAATGCTAAACTTGAGGTGGAATGGCCTTGATTTTTCTTGGCCTCCATAGAATGGTATTGCCAGGATTGCTGATTTTTCAAGAAAAATAGAAACTTTCAATTATATGTGATTTCCCTTGATTCATTTTGTTCTCCTTTTATTCTTTTCTTAGGTAATCTGTATGCCCAATCTTGGACTCAAACTCACAACCCCAAGATCAAGAGTCACATCCTCTACCGCCTGAGCAATCAGGCACCCCTCTCTTGATGCTTAATTTTGACAAATTTCATTTTATTTTTTAAATTCCATTTAAAACACATCTTAATAGCTTGTGGCCCCACAAAATATGTCCCCTGACCAGATTCAGAGCATGACCTCATAGAATTTTCTAGAATTTCTAGAATTTTCTAACTCCACCCTAGAGGAAAAACAGTATCTGTAGGTAGAGGATTGCAGTGTCACTTAAGAAAACATGCAGATGGGCAGCCCCCGTGACCCAGCGGTTTAGTACCGCCTTCGGCCTGGGGCCTGATCCTGGAGACCCAGGATCCGGTCCCATGTCGGGTTCCCTGCATGAAGCCTGCTTCTCCCTCTGCCTGTGTCTCTCTCTCCTCTCTCTCTCTCTCTCTCTCTCTCTCTCTCTCTCTGTGTGTGTGTGTGTGTCTGTCATGAATAAATAAATAAAATATTAAAAAAAAGAAAGGAAAAACATGCAGATGGAGTTTTTGCTCTGCTAGTCTGCACTGCTTGGCTGCTCTGTCTACATAACAAAGTAAGGCACATGTGTCATTTGTGTGGAATTTGGGGGCCAAAAAACAAAAACAGAAGAAAATTTCTTGGGAGCAAGTGGGAAAGCAGATGTCAGCAATATGGTTGGTGGCCTGTACTTACACTGAGGAGGATGGTAGAAAACTCACAGGAGTGAGATGACTGAGGCCTTACTGTGTGTATTTGTGAGAAAGAGAGAGAGAGAGACACTGCAATAACCACAAACCTTCAGTACAAGCCCGTTTCACAAAAGCACTGCGGAGGTGGCACTAGCAGAACAGGAGCCCGTGTTAGAGAAGTTCTGAAAGAAAGGTCACGGTGTACTTACTAAGAACGATGACCACCAGAATGCAAATGTGTATGGAAAAGGAAAATAATAGTTTTGGCTACTTCATTTTAATTTGGAGAGTGATCTCTGATCACAGAGACTTTAAAGGGGGCATTATTTTTATATGATCAGGGGCACTGAAAAACCTGGGTCTTTTTCTTTCAGAAACTTCAAATACCAAGCTTTCCCTGCCACCTGCTGGTTATTGGTTGCAACTTTAAAAAAATATCTTCTGAATAAGTCGTAAAGTATAAAGACCACCACAATGTGCCAACTTAAGAAATAAAATATTATCAATAGAATTTGGAATCTGCTCTAATCCTCTCCCTGACTGCATCTCCCTCCTCTTTAAAAGGATCATCTTGAACTATAAGTTTATCATCCCAACACACTTAATTTTTCTGCATTACGTATGTATCTCTAAGCTATACTGGTATGGTTTTGCATGTTTTTAAAGTTTATATAAAGAGTATCATTTTGCATAGAATTTTCTGCATGAAATCTGCAGGCTACTTTTTAAACCCACATTGTGTTCATGAGATTCATCCATGTTGACATGGCATTTTCACTGCCATATAGAATTCTAGGTAGTGGATATGTCATAAATTATTTGTCCATAGTCTTCTTCATGAATATTTGGACAGCTTCCAATTTTTTACTAATACAAACATTCCTTGTCTGAACATTCCAGAATATGTCCTCATATGTAAATGCTGAGTTTCTCAGACAGCAATTGTAATTGTAAATGTTTTGTCAAAATGTTTACACATCTCCATCCCCACTTGATATTGTCAGATTTCTGAATTTTTGTAGTTCTGCTGGGTGTGCAGTGATATCTCTTTGTGGTTCTTTTTTTTTTAATTTTTTTTAACTTTTATTTATTTATGATAGTCACAGAGAGAGAGAGAGAGAGAGGCAGAGACACAGGCAGAGGGAGAAGCAGGCTCCATGCACCGGGAGCCCGACGTGGGATTCGATCCCGGGTCTCCAGGATCGTGCCCTGGGCCAAAGGCAGGCGCCAAACCGCTGCGCCACCCAGGGATCCCTCTCTTTGTGGTTCTAATTTCATGACCTTGATGGCCTTTGGCACAGGATCTGGGAATCAAGTTATTTAGCTCATCTTGAATAAAGGTTTATAATTG